AAAGAGAGAATATATATATTATAGTTCCTGGAAGCCTTCTGGTCTATAATAGTTGTTGCATAAATATTTGGCAATGGGTTGATTTCTCGTTGAGTAAAATGAATGAATTTATCATTCTCATGCTTTAAATTAAAAAAATTAACAGAGCAAATATTTACTGGAGGCTAATATCCTGAGTCACAGATTGTAGCCTCAGAATGACCTTTTATCAAACATACAATAAATAAAAATCCCTCACCAAGATGCTATTGTAACTCAGAGTGAACCTGTTTCAGTTAGCCTTCTCTGAGCTTGGTGTAGCCCTTTGAATGTGTCAAGCCCTGAGAAAGAAAGTAACTGGTGTCAACCACACATGTTGTCACACACCTGTAATTCCAGCATTGGGAGCCTGACTGAGAACACAGCAAGAAATATTATTAATGTAAAAAATCACACTGATGTTACTAATTATTAGGGTGCCATTTTACATTTGGATGCAAAATGACATTTAAAACGTTATTGCTTTTTAACATATTCAGTAAAAACCAGCCAATTGCTAGTTGGAAGTTTTTAAAGAAACATTATTATTGTCATGAAGAAAGCCTTGTCAAGGCTAACTAAATATGGAAGAAATAAGTTGCACAAATTAAGAGAACATAGTTAACTTGGTAAGGCTGATGTCACTGAGGGAACAATAATTTATCAAAAATAATGAAACAATTAAAGGACATCAATTTTCCAAATGAGCTGGGAAATCACTGTTGCTTGCACAAAAGATTCTAATTAAAATATATTTGTTATTTTTATTTTATGCGTATGAGGGTATCCTGCATGTATGTAAGTGCACCCGTGTTGTGCCCATGGAGGTCAGAAGAGGGCATCGGATTGCCTGGAACTGGAGTTATAGACGGTTGTTAGCTGCCAAGTAGGTGCTGGGAATTGAACCTGGGTCCTCTGCAAGAGCAGTCAGTACTCTTAACCACTGAGATATCTCTCCAGCCCCCACAGTTTCTAATTTTTATAAGGGTAGAAAGAATGTTTTCCTGTAGGTTTTATGCTGTGTTCTCTAGCAAAATGAAAATATATAAATTATTGAACTCAGCTTGTGTGTCCACCTCAGTTTACTGAGATAATGGGAGAGGGTATGAGAGCATGAGGTAGGGGTGTCCTTCCCACCTATGGGAGGGCTTTGAGTGACCTAAAATGTCAAGGAGAGTGCAGTGATACTCAGTGTGTTGAATACCAGCAGTTCAAGGTATCTCAGATTATCATTATTATTATTTGAGACATGATCTCACATGATAGCTCAGGCTAGCCTGTAACTCACTATGTGTCCCAGAATGGCCTCAAATTCATGGCAACCTCCAGATTACTGGGATTACAGGTGTGAGCCTGGTGCATAGCACACAATTTTGACACATGACAGGGCTGTGTTCCATTAGATGACATCACATTTTTGCAAAGCAGATGTTCAGAAGCTTCTACGATAAGAAGTGGGGAAATTGAGGTGGACAACAGACAGGTCATGTCTCACATGAGTCTAAAGGTTTGACTTAGTACAGCAGCCAGCAGTCGCATGAATTCATTACTGAATATCTGTGATTAAGAGTGAAATAGAAATACAATTTTTCTTTCAATGTCTTTATTATTTGTTCAATTATAAAGTCATAGCATAAATACTAAGTTGTTTTGGCAACCTCCAGATTACTGGGATTACAGGTGTGAGCCTGGTGCATAGCTCACAATTTTGACACATGACAGGGCTGTGTTCCATTAGATGACATCACATTTTTGCAAAGCAGATGTTCAGAAGCTTCTACGATAAGAAGTGGGGAAATTGAGGTGGACAACAGACGGGTCATGTCTCACATGAGTCTAAAGGTTTGACTTAGTACAGCAGCCAGCAGTCGCATGAATTCATTACTGAATATCTGTGATTAAGAGTGAAATAGAAATACAATTTTTCTTTCAATGTCTTTATTATTTGTTCAATTATAAAGTCATAGCATAAATACTAAGTTGTTTAGATATAACTATTTAAAAAGAGGAACTGTGGCCTGAGGGTATTGGGAAAGAATTACTGACATATTAAGGATACTAATACCTAGAGTGTTTGCGTACCTCTGGGCAAAAGTCTTCGTTTTTAAGTATATTTCAAATAGACTTGGAGACCTTGTCTGTTATTTCCAGAATATCCTGCTTTGGCATGTACAGATGTCTCAGTACTGGTGACAATAGACTGTACAATCAGAGTGTATCCTAGAGCGGGTTATGTCATTTCAAGGGTAATCAGATGTATTAGATTCAACTAGATAATTTGGGTGGATGAAGGTGGTCACTTAGCCCAGGAGCAGAAGCTGGTAAGACCTGGGTTGGAGCAAGACCATGTTCTGGGATTTATAACCTCTAGCAGCATCTTCCTACTTCCTCAAGCCTAAACACAAATTCTGCCTCTTACACAGTCATAGCTAGCAGGTTACTAGGATAGGGCAGAAATGCTAAGAAATAATCAGGGAATGAAATTCAGTTTTACCAGAAAAGATCTGGCAATGGTATAAAAATCAAGAAGTTTTAGGCTAATCATGGAATAAAGCAGGCAACACATTTAGCAACAGAATATTGGTGACATGCAAACATAAGGTAGTCACACTTCAGGAATGGCTTGCTTATTGTTTGCTTTTGTGCAAAACACCAATATTTGGTGGATAAACCTTCCAGACTATTGACTCACACCATTTAGAAGCTGCTGAAGGAAGCACTTAATAATTTATCCAACAGAGGACTTACCAGTGAACAGGGAAGATTCAGTAATATCTAACTTTATCTTCTCATGACAAGTACTCAAGAACTATTCTTTGGAGTAAGGCGTGGCTGAATAGTTCCTCCAGGGTCACTGGTAAAAGGAGCTGTGTTCTGTTGAGATGATTCTTCTTGAAGCACAATAACAAAACAGGAAAATCTCAGCCTCACCTTCTTTGTAGAGAGGAATCAGATTTTTATCTGGTTACTTACTTTACATAGTAATAATCCTTGTGCTAATGACCCTGTTACAATTCAGACTCTGGAGCTAGTAAAAATCAAAATAACCTATTTGAGTGAGCAAGTGTCTGACAGATCCCAGAACACAGGATGAAGCTGGCCTAAGAGATAAGGAATGTTATGCAAAAATTGGATGCCAAGGTCAGCTGTTGTTTAGATTTTAACTTGACTAACTGCTACAGAGATCTGGGAAGAGAAAAACTGTCTGATTATATGGACTTTGAATTCATCCTTCTATTTGCAAAACTCTAATTTAGGAATTTAGAATGACATCACAAATTTCATTCTCCAAAGGGCTAAAAATAAAATTAACAGCTGTAACATCAAAATCAATCATATTAACAGCTGCAACATCAAAACTTCACTTTGATGACTTTTGATCCATTTCACATTTAAAGAAAATTATTATTTCTTAAAAACCCATATATCGGGGCTGGAGAGATGGTTCAGCAGTTAAAAACCACTCACTGCTCTTGCAGAGGACCCGGGTTCGATTCCCAGCACCCACATGGTGGCTACGAACTGTCCTTAACTCCAGTTCCAGGGGAATCTGAAGCCCTCTTCTGACCTCTGTGGCATTGCACAACAGGGGTGCACTCACATACATGTAGGCAATACACTCATACACATAAAATAAAAATAATAAAATATTTTAAACCCAATAAAAAAACCCATATATCACACACATATAAATTTAAAATATAAATTTTAAACCTCTTTTAGGTGTAGATACTTGCATAGGCGCTTGGGGTATATAAGACAAACGTATGGGAAGAACTTGGCCTTTGAAGTTACAAGTCCTGGATTCAGATATGTTCACTAGCTATTAGCAGAACAATCTTTGAAAATTATATGGTTTTTCTCATCTCTAACTTCCTTAATTTAAAATGGTCATTATAATGCCTGCTTCAAATGGTTTTGGACTTAGACGAGGTAATCTATGTCAAAGAAAACTCTGTATCATGGTCATGATGATGCTATTGCCTGACCAACTTATTGATGATTGATTCATAATATTGAAGTGGATTCTGCAGGCACTGAGCAGAAACTTCGAGATATTGGTAGACTGAGGCAGCGAAAGGGTCCTGGAAGGCTGAATCTTTTCTCTTGGTTTTTAATACCATTTCATCATAGCCATTGGCTTTGCATCTGGAGGGCTTTATAAACTACCTAATATGTTGCTTGATCCTTGGGCTCACCTCTGGCCTTCTTTCTGGCTAATTAAGGACTTGGCAAAGAGACAGCATTGTTAGCTCTTTGAGTTCAACTGTCCTCCAGTTTGGAAGAAGATAGCAATTGAATGACTTCAAACTTAATTTTTAACTAAAGTCAGCTTTCAAGACCACTGTTAGCTCAAGTGCGTCTTTTTTTTTTTTTGTCTCTTTGAGACAGGGTCTCCGTGTAGCCCCAGCTGGCCTGAACCCACTATGTAGACCAGGCTAGCCTTGAACTCACAGAGATTTGCCTGCCTCTGCCTCCCCAGTGCTGGGATTAAAGGCATGCACCGCACCTGGCTCAAGTGTGCCTTTAAAACAATTCTAAATACATGTGACATCTTGAGAGTTAGGACTACATTAGGGTCCCGAAGCTTAGTATTCAAGCAAGTTACCTTGATGTGTACATGGAGCAAGCCAAGAAGTCCCTGGTGAAGATCTACTGTTCACATAAGGAGTATCATGGAGATTTAATTTGCTGGCTG